CACATTCTTATTAGGAGCGTTCCTTATCTCCCAGAAATAGTCAGAAAAAGTCCGAAGTGGTCAGATTTAGTCCAAAAAGCGTTCCTTAACTCGGAAATGACAGCTAAAATGAGAGAGCAACACCCAGTGAGAGTGACTCTCATCAGTCCGAAGTAGTCAGATTTAGTCAGAAGATTTTTTTCTGGCAAAATCCTGAAAAGTGTCAAACTCAACTAAATTTAAATTAACGGAAATTAAAGAATATGCAAAAAGTGAGAATAATCTAAAAAGTAAAAAAAGTGAATTGAAATTGGAAGGAGGCAAAAAATAATTGATATGGTAAGTGTTTATTGTGCTTGTGCTTGTGTGAATGTGTTTTGTACATACATTTCCATTCTTATTTGACGTTAGCTTTGTTGTTGCCATTCTTTGGACTAAAAATTTGGTTTTTTGCGTTCCTTTACTTTTCCAGTTATTCTCTTTTAGTGAGCGCATTTTGCTTACGCTCTGGCATTTTGACACTTTTCAGATTTTAGTCCAAAAAGATAAGGAATGAACCTAATAGTGAATCAAAAATGCTCCCAGAAGTTTTGTGTACGTGTGATTTTTCAAACCAAATAGTTTGCCTGCTTGCTCATATGTGAAAAGATTAGCTTGACTACTTACTCATAAGACACAAACTTTGCAAAGAAAAAAGAGTGCAAACAAAACGATTTCTGTTTCGCTCATTGACGAGCATCAGCGTTGCCGTTTTGGTCCAATTGGACAAAAATTGGTAGGTTCATTCTCCTTTGGTAGCTTGGTTGGTTTGATGAACCTTTTGGTAGGCAAAAATGTTTTGAAAATACAACCGAATTGAGCACTAAAATTTGTTCGCTTGATTTATGTTTACACGTTCAAAACATTGCTTTCACTTTGTTCGCATATATATTAACTAATATTTTCAAATGTTGTGAGAGGTAGTAACAAAACAAAATTACTTTTAAGGCGCAGCGAAGCACGCCGGGTATTCGCTAGTTAGTTAATATTGCTGTACATATTTGTATAGTAGGGAGATTTTTTCAAATTTTATAAATATACGTTATTTGAATATTGAATTAATACACGTATAGCAAAACGTGCCGAACTTAGCGGGCACGCGTGACGGTAACGTCACTGGGAAAGTGACCGTCACTGTTCTTGCTGGGGTTTAGCTCAAATACGTTTATGTCTGTATGTATGTGGTATAGCGCAGTCACGTCGCTCATACACATCTCTTTTGCCTTTGTGAGCTCGTGTTTGATCGGCACTGATGTACAGATTTTTCGCGTAGCTATGCGCTGTATTTGGCAACCAAATAGGCTTATGCTTGTACGTCTTTGTACGTAATTTTTTGTAACTTTACACCCAAAAAAAGGGTGCTTATCTTCCAAGAATAAAAAATATAAGTATGCCACTCTGCGTCTTTTTACAAATGCTTCGTTTAAAAAAAAAAAAATATTAAAATCGGTTTAGTACTTTGAGAAATAAGTCGTTACAAACGTACTCCATATAATCAATTTTATATAATTGTTAGATATAGATAGATATAGATATAGATATAGATACAGATATAGATATAGATATAGATACGTTATTTGAATATTGAATCAATACACGTTTGAGGAAAGGGTGCGATAGTAGACTCCAGTTATAAGATTATAAATTAAATTTCCAAGAGAAAGTCGGTTCTTTACATATTTTCTATTTACCTTCAAAAATATATTAACTAAAAAAAAATAAACAATGCTTCATAGATCGATTTTTTTTAAATCTAACTTCATAAAGTTCTTTAAAAATATTTTATAAATGAGGCCCTACGAGCTTAGGGGGAGAGTTACAACACAAAAATTCATTTAAGGCGCTGCGAAGCACGCCGGCTAGTTTTATATAAGCGGCGTATAGATATAACACAAGGTTAACACCTAATTAATTCAAAGCAATTTGTACGAAATTAGGGAAATTGTTAACATGGTTTTATTTTTAAACGTTTAAACATTACATCTTAATTTATGCATTTCTGTCAATGCTTCATTGTTACAAGGAGTTTTTCCGGGTAGTTTTGAGCTATAGAGTTCTTCAATAAGAAGACCATCTAAGAATTTTACTCTGCTTAAAGCAACGCTTGTCCTGCAGCGAAAATTTTGTTTCCTAAATAAACAACGGCACGTTCAACAGTGCTACCCTGCATTTTGTGCACAGTGGATGCCCAGCATAGTACGATTGGTAACATTCTCCGTTCTGCCGTACCGTAACTATAGCTCTGATCCAGTACTCCATGAACTTACAGGATTTTACATGAACTTGCAGGAAGTTGCAGGAAAAATGTTCCCGTACTACAAAATCCTCCAAAATCCTGTAAATGAGAGCGACTTTTGGAGAGTTGCGTAGAAAATGAAGTTGCAAGATTTTACCAGAACTTTTTCTTCTGGTAAAATCATGAAAAGTGTCAAGCAATCACTGGTTGACGTTTCTACAGGAAAAATGTTTTTTTTTTATCCCGTATTTTTTGTTGTTACTCACTTTTTACTCTCACTTCAGAGAGTAATTTTGCTGTTTGACAGTTTTACAGGATTTTTCACGAAAAGTATTGGATCAGAGCTTATATTTAGCTGGGAACTGTATCGATTTTGGTTTGATGATATGAGTTCCGTTGGCACCGAAATCTACCTCAACTGATGGTATGTCGTATCATAAATTTGTGCTCAGCGAAAGCAAGGCCAAATTATTTTGGTAATGGTACCGATAGCGCCGTTGACTAAACTTTTGCTTACATCTATATTTGACAGTAACATGATTTTTGAATCCTCAAATATTTCTAGTTCTTTTGGAAGCCCAATTGTTTTAAACGTGAGTCAACCATTCATAGCATTTCATACGGAACCATTGAAATCTCATCGATAAACAAAAACTCAATTTCTCGCTATTGTTCCCTCATCAGACGCAAGTAATTTCCGGTAAGAATAAGCATTTGTACTAATTTTTCATCTTTTTGCACTGGTAGTTTCAGTGTTGAATGTAGAGTTGGTCCTCCTACTAAACGTGCTGCCACTCCTGTTAACGCGCACACTTTTACAGCCTTTTTACTGTAACATCGGTCAATGTGATTTTTAAGCAAATTAAACAAAAATGTTTTTCCAGTTCCTGCGTTTCCTGTTATAAACAGTCTTAGACGTTCGTCACTCCTATTTAATTGTTTTGAAATTTCCCTTGTTATGCGCGAAAATATTGCATGCTGTCCAATATTCATGGCCCTCTGGGCACTATAAAACTGGTCATCGGACATGCGTTGCTCCGGTATACCTTCATCGTCCTCTATTTCATGCCATTCTTCTGCATTGAGTATTTCGAAAGCATGTATTTGATTGAAAGCGTTTTCTAATTGTCTATCGCGTTGTCTATACATTTCGAGCCGTGTATAAGTATCTTTAAGATAAGATTCTCTTGCAAAGAATGCTTGTTTCGCTGTATCATAGTTCGACAACAATTCACTCTCATCTCTATAAGGGACATACTGAACCAGTAAACTATAAAAGTAGTTTTCACTATCACTTGCTGCCACAAAGTAAGGCACGCGCACAACAGCTGGTGTATTTCTTATTATCATCTTACTATAATCTCTCAATTTGATTAACCGCCTTACGATCTGCTCTTCAGATTGATGTTGGTCGATGCTTTCTTCAGAATCATTTGACATAATACGGTTCGAATAACATTGCAAACTCAAGCAAGCACATATTTTCAAAGGTGTATCGAGAATGTTCAACAGGTCGTTTTTCGTAGCGGTCGAAAATATTTCCATAACATCCTGTCGCTTGCCCATTTTCATTAAATTTTAATACTTTATATCTCTGATATGGCTTTCTGGTATTCAAAACCATGCATTTTCTTGAACATTCTTTGAGATTTAAATGACAAAGTCTGTACACACACTCACACGCTGAAACATGCCTTTCTTTTAAGATACGCAAACAAACTGTAAATAATTTGCTTGTGCTACGCTAGAATCAAGTTGGGTTGGCTCTGGAAGCTCAAGTTGGGTTGGCTCAAATTTATTTTAATAATTATAAAATGATGGATGATGAGCGCTTGATATCTCTTGTTGAGCCAAATAAAGATCTGTATGATAAATTTTCGCCAGGATACAAATTAGCTGATGCAAAAAGGCAAATATGGGCTAAAATTGGTGAACAGCTTAATCGGCCAGGTAAGCGCATCATGAAAAAAAATTTGTTAAATGAAATTGTTTTTAATATATAAATGCATATGTATGCACATATACTTCTCTTCAGGTGATCATTGTGCTCAAAGGTGGCTGTCGATTCGGGAGCGTTACAGCAGAGAACTACGCCGACTGAACGAACCATCAAGAAGTGGGGCCAAGCGTGAGAGAGTTTGGCCGCTGATGGAATCGTTGCAATTTTTAAAAAAAGTTGTAATATCGCGACCGTAAGTTAGATAGTTTTTTAACTTTTTTTTTTTTTAAATACTTATATAAATACATACTATGTGATTTTATATTAGTTATAATTTATTTACAGATGTCGGACTTCCAAAAATATTTTAAACTCGCCACTGCCGTCGACTTCTCAGCGGCCGTCATATAATGAGCAGCTGGTTGTGAATGTGGCGTCACCATCAGCTCCGTCTGAACCAGAAAATATACCAGTACCATTGGAGATCGTGTCGCCATCAATACTGGAGGAATCAAATGCCTCGATGTTGTATCAATTGTCGTCACCATCGCAAGAATTTTCCGCTGATTCAAACTCGACATTGCTATCTCTTTCATCACAAAATAAACGTAAAATGCCCAGAGGAAAGGAACCAGATCTGGATGCAGTATTCTTCGAATCAGCGGAAATGTTCAAAAAAGCGTGTAAAGCTATTGAGGCGTCGGAAGGGGAGCAAAATCCCACCGTGCATGCTTTCGCAAAAATGATTGGGGCTACAATTACTCAAATGAGTGCTGCAAAGCAATATATTGCTATGGAGCGTGTAACGGCTATTGTAATGGCGTTACAGCGAAGGCCAGAGCCATAAAGAATGGAAATATACAATACATATGTATGCACAGTTTTTTACCAGTTATGACAAATTTTCTTTATCTCTTTAATGTTAATTGTTTTCACAAAAGTCTATCTGGTTATACACAAACACCATATAAACTAACATTTCAAACTTTGTACAAAAATGCAATGGGGGACCCACAAAAATCATTTGTATTAAAATATTATATAATAAGCAACTGGGTATTATTATAAGAAGTCTCCTGAAGATAAACAGGGTTTTCCGATCGAAAAATATTGAATTCTTTACCATTTCCACGAATAATTAAATAAATATAAATAATTTTTGTTTTCGAAATAAAAAAGCCATTATATATAATTGTAAAATTTAATTGCATATACTTACGTAATGGTTCTATGATAGAATATGAAAGACCACCAAATAAAGAAACGTTTCTAAATTTCGTGTTCTTTTTTCCAATTGTAACGTAACGTAAATACTTCACGTGTTACATTTATTATCTATTAATATGATAATTGTAATTGAAATTAGAAAGGCAATGTAGGGTTGAATTGGGAAAATTGCACATTTAACATCATTTTATGTACAGTGGCTTAACTCCATATCATGCAGTTATGTGTGTTAAGTTACAACTAAAATAATGCTAATGGCGATTACATAGTCTCAGTGAGTGCGTTAAATATTTACTCTTCCGTCCTGGAAAGGTCCAGCGCCTTCATTGATAAAAAAGTTCGCCAACTTGTCTCTCAGCTGATAGGCTTCGATAGGAGCTCTCCGAGCGAAAGTAGTCATGGAACGCAAAGTACCAGTATTTCTGACATCCCGACGCCAATCACCGAGCTGAAGCTCATTATCTGCTCCTTCCCGATCTACGTAATTGCTTGCACAATACCAACGATCATGGTCATTCATAATTATAAAATTATGCAGGGCAATGCACCCTAATACAATAGATTCGCAGTTGGCTGGGCTATAGTCCATAGTTTTCCGAATTATACGCCATCGAGCTGTTAATATTCCGAATGCATTTTCAATTCCTCGACGGGCACGTGAAAGCCTGTAGTTAAAAATGCGCTGGCCTCGATTTAAATTTGTGCCTGCATACGGCCGCATTATATTTAGTTTTAACGGAAAGGCATTGTCGCCTACAAAATAATGCGGAAAAGGTTCCATACCTCTACGGAACGGTCTGTCGGGTGGCAACGGTAAAGAATTTCCTATTAAAGACCTGCCGAATACTGAGGTCTGGAATATTCCTTTGAAATAAAAAAATTTGAATTAAAAGTGGGTTTAGGATAATGAACTATTCAAATATTTACAACTGTATGTATGGATGTATGTACCTGCATCACTTTGGCTACCAAAACTTCCAATACTGACAGCGGTGAAAGTGTACTTCGCATCACATGCAGCCATCAACACAATACTGAAGCATTTTTTATAATTAAAAAATATTGACCCAGAGTTCGAGGGACATTGAATAGCAATATGCTTGCCATCTATTGCCCCTACGCAATTAGGCATATTCCAAATATTTTCAAAATCATTTGCTATGTCCTTATATTGTACTTCTGTTGGTTCTGCTACATAAATAGGCGAAAGCAACCGCCAGAAGACCACGCATGTTTCCAATATAATATTGCGTACCGTCGTTCTCCCAAGCTTATAGCTCCATGCTAATGTTGGGATGGGTTCGGCATGGGCTAAGTGACTTTTTGAAGAACAAATTATACATAAATAATTAAAAAGGAAATTAAAACACTAACATTATAAAAAACTCACAGCAGGGTTAGAGATACACGCTCTTCTGCGCCAATACGCTGTTTCGGCTTGCGCAGCTCGCTACCCAGCAAAGATAATAATAAATTAAACAATACTCGGGACATTCTTGTGTGCTCGAAAAACTTTTCTTCTGTCATTTCTTTAATTTTTTTAAAGACAGTGCGCTGGTACCCTTTTTTCGCCCAATCTTGATTAATTGGATGTACACTCCAGCGCCTAATTCTTTGTCGTCTTGATATTTTACAGGCTTTATACATTTTAATTAGATTNCAGGTGATCATTGTGCTCAAAGGTGGCTGTCGATTCGATTTTAACTTCAAAATGACAAATTCATATGCTGGGAATCAAAACAAAGAGAGAAAGTAACGGATGACAGGCAGAGTAATCGTTTCTAAGTTTCTACGTAAATCAAGTCAGGTCTAAGTCTTGCATAACTGAGGTTTGACTTTGATAAATACTTTGCAATGTAGAAAGCTATAGCTCCGTTTGAACCACAGGGATGAATATTTATTTTTATTTATNTCCTTTAAGTATTTCCACATAAGTCGGCTGTCACCCTTATTTATTTCCACCTTATGCTCTAAGTATTTAGTTTTTTTACACCTTACCATTTTGTTATACCTGCTTCTCACTAAATTATATTCACCCCAGTACCCTGACAACACTGCTTTCTCATGGGATCCTATCCTATCCTATCCTATCATACCATTTGTTGAATATCCATATTTCCCTGCCAGAGTTTCAAATGAATCTATATCTATATATATATAAATGAAATGTCTTTCCAATGACGGCGATGCCTGACCAAACGGTTGAACCGATTTCAATTCTGTAAAAAGCACATTTTTGGACCTTCTGTGTGGAAGGTTCTTTGATTTAAAAAAATTTGAAATTTTTTGTTGTTGTTGCCGAAAAATGAAGAAAGCTGAGACGTCACGATTTCACAATTTCATAGAGTTTTCCGTATATTGAATGTCACTAAACTACTAAACGGCTGGACCGATTTCGTTCATATTTGGAACATATTTCAGCACCTTGAAGGGAAATATTTCGACTAAAAATTTAATCGCTAGGTGGCGCTGGGGTCGGGATATTCATAAAAATTGCATTTACTTGCTGATTTGGCTCATATTTAGAAAACAATTTAGCCAATTTAAAAGAAATATTAGGACTTGAAACTTACACGATAGGTGGCCCTGTGGCTGAGACATCCCCAAAAATTATTTTACGCTAAGAGAAGGATATATCTACTCTATATTTGTGGAAGTATGTATGTATGTATGTAAGTGCCAGGTTGCAGCCTAAACGGACGGACAGAATCGAACAAAATTTTGACAGAGTACTGCCATGACACCTGGGCCTATAATAGGGTAAAAAAATTGGTATTCGACAAGGGGGCGTGGCACCTCCCATAGGCGTGAAATTTTTAATCAGCCATAACTTCGAAACTATAAGTCACATCAACTTGAAATTTGGTATGCAGTCATATATCCTTTGTGGCGTGGTTTGCGAACATTGCATTGGAAACAAAAACAACAACCTCATTTTGTGTTGATGCTTGCAGTGTGCATGCAAACGACAGCGAGCATGTTGCCGAGCATTTTCGTCGTTGATGGCCACATTTCCTCGTCACGCTCTTTCCTGTAAACGTCGAGATGCCGCAGCAAAAATCGCCGTGTGTAAATGAGCACTAATAGTGCTCTTACACGATATGTATTTTCATATGTAAATGCTATTTTTCTGATACGTTCCAATATATGGTACATACGAGTAGATACAAAGAAGTAGCATTTACATATGCAAATACACATCGTGTAATAGCGCTGTAAGCAATATCAAATGGATGGAAAATGACCAAGAGCTGCTTGCTTTAAAAAGCAAAAAAGTATTGCTTATGCTATTTTGCAGCCAGGAATGCAAACTCTGATTTAAATAACTATTAGGGCTATTCGCGATCCGGTGCAAATGGCCTAGCATCATAGCATTGCAAATTTGTATTGCAAATTATTTGCAATACACAAACAAAATACACGCATTTGCATTTGTCATGGCTTGACAAATTTACAATACCGAAAATCCATAGCATAAAAATGCTATGCATTGCAACTCTGGTTGACATTTATCAGCTGATTAAAAAAGTCATGACAGTTTAGTTAAGGCCCGTCCACATAGAACTTTGGCGTTGCGTTGGCGTTGGCGTCGCTTCAACAGCTGACTATGAATACATGAATTCAAACGCAGCCGTCCACATAGCCAAAATTCGACAACGCTCACGCCAACACAAAGCAAAAAGATGGCCAACTCTCATCTTTTCGCGTGCGTCGCTCGTCAGCTGTTGCAAATAAATAAAATTATGTGAAATATTTTCCTTTTTAATCAAGTGCGGGCAAGAAATATCGTTTTTAATGCAATTATTGATATGAAATATTAATTTATCTGTCGTTAGTATGTTAATGTAGTGGCCCAAGCATTCGCTGCCAAGCGCTCATTGTAGCAAGCATACTTTTAACGTGCGTTCTGTCAAACCAACGCCAACGCCAAAGCCAACACGAAAGTTCTATGTGGACCGGCCTTTAAGGTCGCTCACAATCCATGGCATATTTCTGCAATTGTATAAATTTGTCAGCTCTTATGCACCGAATCGCGAATAGCCCTATTGTATTACCGGTTTATCGGAGTACTATACAAAATGAAAGAGGAAACAACTACACAAAGAAAGAGGAGATTATTAAAAGCTAAATACAAACGCAAGAAAGATCAAACAAATGTGTCAGATAAACCCAGAGTAATCATATTAAACAAGGTAAGACAACGCGTTTCACAGATACCAGCAATTGAAACACTGCCACAAAGAAATAATCCTTTAGAGAATAATTTACGAGTAGCCACTGATTCTCTTGAAAAATATCAAGCCTTACACCAAAGAGAAAGAATTACTCCGTCTATTACAAATACCAATATCAACTTCGATCTATTTCTAAAGTCTATAAATACTCACTGTGATCGAGTATGTGTCATCTGCCTGAAAAGATACTACCCGAATCAGGTTTTAAACCATCCACTGAATACGGAAAACACTAAATATTTACCTGAAGAATTAGCATGCAAAACAATCTTGTTATTGTGCCGTCGTTGTAAAAAACACCTCAGCAGTAACAAGCATACCCCACCTTCAAAAGCATATTTTAATAACATGGATCCAGGTAATATATCCGACGTTATTAAACGATTAACGCAA